TATTAAATTATTTATTAAATGTATTAAACGTATCCCATCCTGTTTCTTTCTTTCTTGTAAGATTAATCTATTATTAATCGTTTCTATTAAAAAAAAAATACGTATGTGTAAAAACAATTGCGAATTAAAGGAAATAAACGAACGTTTATTTAAAAAAAAGCAGAAATAATTCCAGGAATTGTACTTGATTTCTAAGAAACGTCGAAATTTCTGGAAACGATTATTTATCTCTTCTTTTTTCCTGTTGTTCATCCAAAAAATTTCCTAGATTTCCTAATAAATTTCTGCAAATTTCTCGCTTCGCAAAAATTCGCGTAGATATTTCTGTGCGATAGTTCTCAAACGAGTATTTTTAAGCGTTGTTAACTTTCTTCGTTTAATTCTATGTAAACTGCGTTGACCGAGTAGTCACATTTTACCGATAAGTTAGACAGCGAACGAAAATTTCCGCGATCAGCGCCATCTCGCGTTTGGACGCTGGAAGCTCTGACTCTTTACTAACAAAGCAGAATAGACGAGGAGGTATTCGTGACGTCACAGATAGGAAGGAGAGCGGAATATTGCGGAAAAAGGACAGAGAAGACATTCCATTACTTTATGCGTACATCGTTCACCTTATATCATTTCAAAGACGCGACATCGTAAATTAATTAATTACTAGATTTCTGGTAAAAATTTCTGAACTTTTATACTCGCGTTTTCATCTTGAAACTTTGGACAACTTTCTCGTATCGATTTGAAACGTGAAATTCTTTTGATCCATTATTTATTAACGATTAATGCGTCGCATCTGAATGACGCGTGACCGACGCGCATTACATTTTTCGTTAAATTCTTATTATTACGGATTTCATTTCTAAACACGAATACACGCATTTCAAACGTTATATTCTTCTCTACTTTCACGTATAATTTTTGTCTACGAGTTTGTTGTTGTTCGAACGAATAAATCGATCATTCGTTACTCCATCGCGAAACGAAGATTCGCGAATTGAAACATTCTCTACGTTAATCGTTAATAAATAATTAAATCGAGAGAATTTCAGGTTGAAATCGTCACGAGAACATTGTTCGAGGTTTTAACTTCGAGACGCGAATATAAATGTGCACGAATTTTCGATGGAAAATTGGTAATTAATTAATTTTCAATCGAGCGTCTTCGAAGTGTTGGAAGATATCAAGAACGCATAACCAAAGTTAGTGGCGCGTTTCTTCCATCTTTCTCTCGCAATGTTTCTCTCTTTCTCGTGTATGACGTCACGAATACCTCCTTGTACATTCTGCTTTGCTATTAACGAGTCAAAGCTTCCAGCGTCCAAACGCGAGATGGCGTTGATTCGAAATATCTTTCGCTGTTTAACTTACGAGCAAAATATATTCCATGCGTATACTTGGACGAAAGTTTGTGAGATCAAAAAAAGAAACGCGATACGTATAGTAATTATAATTTAAAAATCGTTTAAGCGGGAGTATATGATAATGATTGCATAAAGAGGGAAAATAAAGAAAGAATCCGAGAAATATATATATTACTATACGTATAATATGTGAGTATCAACATATATACGTATCACGTTATTTTTTTAGGTTATTTTATAAACGTAAAAACGATTAAAATTAATTTTCGATTACAAATAAATTATAATATATTTATTACAGTAATTATTCAGTCATTCTTATTTGAAAACCACTTTTCGCGTTGAGAAAAAACTTTTGATACATCGAAGACTAATTTCAATGAAATGGAATGATTTACGTCGATCATGTTCAATTAATCGAAAAGGTAAAAAATTAAAAATTCAAATTATTCTTGGTCCTATTCTTTTTAATAATGAAATTAATTTGTTTGAAAACAGAATTAAGAATTTACAAAGTCGATAAAAAAGATTATTTTTGTTCATCTTTCTATTCTAAAAATAAGTATTCGTAGATATTACTGTGATACAACGAACAGCGCTGAGGCAATAAGAACAATGGTTTCCTTGCATTTTTTAAGCTTCTATCATATTTTGGCGTCTTTCGGCCGAAATTTATCGTCGATATCCAATGGTCGGTTGAAGAGATTACTCTAAACTTCGCATTAAAGCGGATCGTGTCTTTTTAGGGAAAAAAAAAAAAAAGAAAAAGAGGAGAATCGATGGATGAAATGCGTCGATGTTGTTTAAAAATGTAGCTGATAATTTTGTCTTACGATACAAAACAACGCATTGTTGAAATTGCATATAATATAAATACAAGAATGAAATCGAACGACGGAAGAATCTCTGATATTTATCGTTATTAAAAGAATATATTCAGATATATAAAAGATGACACTTATCTCGAGAATAACTTGCTTTTAACAAAAAATATTAGGTATAGTATGCTATTATTTATAATAAATTATTATTAAAATCTATTTAATTCGATTATAGTACAACTTTCAAAATCAAATATGATTAGAAATATCCGAATTTATATCCGAGTAGAACGCCAACCATCCAAGTACGCAAACTTCGAAATCAAACTCGATTATATTACTTGGTAATAAAAAATTCTGTCGTATTCTACCTAAATATACTCGGAGATAAGAGATGATTCTACGAAATATCTATAAAACTGTTTTTTTCTTCTCGCTACAAGTTGCACGATAAAATTTTGCGATTTTTACCACAAGAATCGATGTTGGAAGAATTGTTCGAAAAACAAAAGCAGAAATTAACGTAAGGGAAAGGGAAGAAACGTATCGTGAATGAAATATAACGTGTTAAAAAGTAATTCGATAAGTTACTTACGCGAAGGTGCGGCAAATGTAAAACTAGCTGTGGAGAGGAGAATTTATCGATATCTGGCGCATAATTACCATGGTAACAGGACGATAAAGCGATGGTACGCGTGTTTGACTTGCTATTGAAGAAGAGCATCGGGCATGAGAGACTCTCGGAAGGAATGGGAATTCCGTTCGCTTGTACAGATACGTAAAAGCTCGGTGAAATTCACACGTGGCCGACACCGTGTGTACTTTGTTACTCGATTCGATTAGATTCGAGAAACGAGCTGTCCCGAGAGACGCGAACGACAGAGACGGAATCACGAGAGGAAACGATCACGGAGCACGGTCGGAGGGCAAGGGAAGAGAAAGGATAAACGAGAGACGAATCTCGAACCGCTTTCCAAATACGTTAATTATTCCGCTAATTAGGGATACGATTGCACGAGCGCGATAAGAGGCTCGATGCCTTCGTTGTCCGTCAGCGAATGGGTTCGCTCCACGGTTCTGGCCGAGACGAACAATTTTATTCTCGGGATTTCGAGGAAGGCGATACAGAGAGAGAGAGAGAGGGAGGGAGAGGGAGAGGGAGAGCAAAGGGTTGTGCGCATTATCGAGATTAGGCCGAGCGCGTATCTCTGGTGTGTATCGCGTGTATCGCGGTCTCGCGTGGCTCGCGTCGAGATTCCGATGAATGGATAGCAAGGAAAATATAACCGAGCGATAATAGGAGAATCGGGACAGCTGCGTAAGGATTTACGACTCTTTGTGCTCGCTCCGAATAATGCTCGAACTGTCCAAAAATTTATCGATCCTATCTGCCCTAACCGGCAAATATTTACATCGTACATTGAATCTAGGAGGATGTCAACGTACTCCGATTTTCGAACACGCGTCGAAAAGCGAGGAAAGAGAAAGAGATCGGGTCGGAAGAGGTGTTGGGGGAGGGGAGGGGAAAAAAACTAGGCAAAGGAGACGGAGGCGCGATCGCTTCCTGCTTTCGCGAGAATTCCCTCCGTCTTTCAGCATCGTGATATTTATGGATTCCGAGATTAAAAGCGCGCCGGTGATTAGCGCGAGAAGACCGAGAGCCCGCAGTAAATTAATTATATCGACCGAACGTCTCGATAACTTTATAACTGAATGCCTCTTTGTCCGTGACTCGCTTCGTATCCGGACCGCTCCACGAGATTTCGACATTTTTTCTTCGCTTCGCGGAACAATCTTGAAAATCTTGTTGGGGCCCCGATAAAAGGTGCGTTCGTTCCCCTCTCGACCAACCAACCAATCATTATCGCCTCTCCTCGCCCGATCGAATTAATAATCCGATAACAAGTTGATCGAACCACGCGCATTTCCGGGGTCAAGAATCCCCCCCGTGGTAAGTAAGCACTTACTACACTGGGCGTGCATCGTTAGTTTTACCAAACTCTCGAAGAATCCCGAGAAGAGACGTTTAGACGGATGGAGAGAAGGCTCGAGATATCTCGACCGACGCGACACGAGTACCCGCGAAAAAACCAAACAGCTGTGGAACGCTGACTCTCGTCAACTTTTTCCTTTTCCCTCCCATTCTTTCTTTTTTCTTCGCTGGTCGATTCGGAAAAAAAAAAAAAAAAAAAAAAGAAATTCATCCAACACGACGTTTCCTCGACGTTCGAATCGAATCGTGACGTCGAACGAGGTTTGCTTCTTCGTTCGCGATATCGGACGAGATTCGACTCGACTCGGATCCGAAAAACGATCCGTCGAGAGAGCGAACGACGCTCGATCGTCGGACGAAAAACATGCGTGGCCCTTCGTTTTAATCTCGTCGAGTCGCGGGTGTAAGTGGCGTAAAAGTCGCGACACCGCTATTCCCACGTTCGTTCGTTGGACGGATATTCGTTCCGCGATAAGGCCTGTTTGCTCTTGAAAAAAACTTGGAACGGTCCATTCGCGGGCTCTTCTATTTCCCTCGTCCTTTATTCCGAGCTCCACTCTAACCTTCCAACTCTTCAAATATTTGTCCTTTTTCGCTTGTTTTGTTACATCGCGCGAACGCTCAACGGCCCAAACGATCGCGAAACTAGCGAAAATTTCGACCGTTGCGTGCAAACGTGCAAATCGTCTCGTCCCGATTCAACTCGGGCGAAATTCCGACGATCTCCCACGGAGAGGAAGGGTTGAGACGTTTCATCGTCATTCGACTCGAGAAACTCTTATTTCTTTCTTCTTTTTTTTTTTTTTTTTTTTTTTCCTTTTTTTTTTTTTTTTTTTTTTTCCTTTATTTTTCGGACAAATCTTATAACATATCGTCATACTTATAAATTAACGCTCCTCGAACGCTCGCGCGTTAAACGTTTTCTACAAGTTTCTACGCAAGTTCGCGCTTGTTACAGGATGCGCGATAAATTGTATATCTAAACGATAAATGTAAGTACAAAAGCACGGTTTAATCGGCGTTTAATACCTTATTTATCTCGACGATTTCTCGTGCTTCTCGTCTCGCGATTATCGCTCGATACGAATATCCCCCGCTGAGATTCTTCCCGTGAAATCGGCTCGATCCTCTCGAGAAAATTTCTCTCGGCTATGAAGAGAGCGGCGGATCCGTCGTTCGAAATTCGGAGAGCAGTCGTTTCTCGCGACTCGACTACGATCGCGATCGAATTTCGCGAGTTTATTTTGAAGAGCGTACGCAAGCAGCGTACGCGGTCTCGCGAGCGCAAAGGCCGAGTATATACGCACACTTCAAGCCTTATATATTATTATTATATTTAGATCACGCGGCAGGGTATCGTATCGAGCGTGCTGTTTGTTTAGCCTGAAATTCTGCGCTTTGGAATGGCCGACTGTCATGGAATGATGTCATGGAGTAAGATCGTGGCTTCTCTCGCGTCCTTCTCTTTCGACGCGTCCAACCATCGGAGCAACGTTTCCAACGCGAACGAAACGCGGAAACTTCCAACCGGTCGATAGATTTCGCACGATCCAGTTTTCCTTCTGTTAATGAACGTATATACGTTCCCAATCTCCCATACGTATATATATATATATATATACCTATATTATGCACACTTGAACGCGTACGCGTGCTTACAGAGACGCGATTGTGAACAAAATCAGCGATAAAATCTGTTGGAAAAAGAAACTGGATCGAATGGAGGGAGGGAGTGCGGGAGTAACACCCAAACAAGGATTCTTCGTTATTGTTGTTGTTGTTGTGCGGGAATTAATTTCTCTTTCAAGGCTCACCTCCCCCCATTCTCACTTACATGTAATGAGGCCATGTTTCGATACCAGGTACGTAACGTTGGTATTGCGCGTAGGACGTGGACACGTGCGGATGGCTCATCTGCGTGCTCGTGTGCGAATAGTGCGAATTGTGGGAGGAGGATATGTATTGCATGGGGGGAAGGGGGGGCTGAAGTTCGTGATATCTGACTATGTCCGCCTGTGCTCGATCCTCCCAAGAAGTTTCGCCTATCGGCTGCGGTTCCGAGCAGTGTCGCTTGCTCGGTCTCTCCATCTCTTCGTCGTATCTGAAAAACGACGCGTTTCAAAACGAAACAGAGGGAGGGAGGGAGAGAGAGAGGGAAGGGATATTCCATCTCTCGACGTTATTCCTTTACGTTTTTTCGATTACCTGTTGAATATCCACGGGGAGGAGGACGAGGTGGTGGTAGGCGCTGGTACGTGCACCGGTGGAGGCACTTGGGGGCGAANGACACGAGGCTGGAGGAATATATGGCAGTAAAGCAAAGAATCGGCGGTAAAATCGAGAGACGTTGCTTCCGTCAGATAAGATGCATTTACCTGTTCGTGACGGGTGTTATTTGCACGAGGCGTGGAGCGACGAAGGGAGGCAGGTTCGGAAAAATTCACCTGACGGGGACACAAGGAGTTTATTGTGATTGTTGGGGGCCGTTTATCTGAGGCAGGAACCGGCCGGCAGCTGTTAGCACGCGCCAAGGATGAACCGTGCCTATCTGTTTTCGTTTTGTCGACAAACATCGCGTCTAATGTTCGAACGCGATACCTTTCTTCGAGCCGGAAGAAAAAGGACAAGATTTATTTCCGACTCTTACACCTGGTCC